TGAAAAGCCAGTATCGAATTAGAATATCAATTAAACAATAATAATTTTGGCTAATGGATTCAGTGTCCACAGTCATATAAACACAAACAAACAACAACAAAAACAATAATAACATACAAATTTTTGTTAAAAATTCAAACGTCACACTAAATAATTACCTAGGAATTACTTTAACTTTAAAAATTTTCTATTAAAAACACAAAGATTTTTACGAAATACTTGTTTTTAAATTCAATATAAGAATGTTTCTGTAATAATACTATTAGACAAGGCGAAGACTTCTGGTTCGTTTGGAAAAATATTCCCATGAGTTTTTTTGCGTAATCACTTTCATAAAATTGCCCAAAATAAGGTTGCAAGAGGTCGCCCAGGCGAAAAGTTGTTCAAATTTTTTGAAACAATTTTTTTTTAAACCAATTGTAACAATCAATTTGTTCTACACGAACAATAGTTTTTTTATGTTTTTTTGGATCATTATGAACAACAAAGGTCTTTTGTAAGATTCCTCTAAAGTTGATCGTTTTCGAGTTATAAAAAGTTTAAAACTGAAAAGAAAAAACGCAAAATGACTATTTTCAAGGTTCAAAAACACAAGTAAAAAATATTTTTGAAATCATCAAATGCCTAATTACAAGAACAAGTCTTTTTCTAACAGCTCCCGATAAAAATTTTGGGCATATATTTTTTAAAACATTGTTTTTAATTGTGAATGAAATGCAAATGGCAGGTCGGGCGCTTATTTGTACAATAAGAATTCAAACCAGCAAAAATTTGTTCATAGATCTTGTTTCTCTCTGATACTTACATGATGCAGGCCGAGGAGCGCCCTTCCTGTCATAAGCGCTTCAATAATTATTAAAAAATAATGTTTTAAAATTAAATAAGTCCAAAATACTTATCGGGAAATAATAGAACGAGGATTGAACTTGAATTTAGGTCCTTGGTAAATTCAAAAATAATATTTTTTACTTGTGTTTTTGAGCCTTAAAAATCGTAATTTCGCAGTTTTTTCAGTTTTAAATTGTTTACTTAAAACTTAAAAACCATCAAGTCCTTCAACTTTTATTTATTCTATCAACACAATGATTTATTTGGCTGAGTATCATGTTTTACCTGTATCTTCTGCATTGTTAACTTACCTTTTGACTGTATGTTCTGATTATTTTATTTTAAATTGTTTTTATTTCTTTCCTTTATTATTTTATTAATTTCTTTATTATTGAACAGTTTCCGAACTCTCAGATTCTTCACGAATGCATAGTTTTTTTACAACCTGTTAATTTGTATGTCCTTTATATTTCGATACCTTTTATATATTGATTGTAATATCCATAAAGTGTCCTAATGACAATAAAGGTCGATTCAGACACATCAGTCCCGTCACAGTCTCGGCGACGAACCGGTCCTGTTTGCGTTTGGTCACAGAACTATAAACTATTAATTATCTGACAGCTGAGAAACTGTTCCTCGCCTGATGAATGTGAATGCCGGCGCCATATTTCTATTAAAGAATATTTTGTATGGCGGATTGTTCGGTTCGGCGCCAGGACTGTGACGAGACGTGACTGATGTGTCTGAATCGACCTTTACCTCTCAAAGATAACAGTTAAGTGACATTTAGGACAATTAAATGTAAAAAATTACAGTTAAATGGCATTTATGACAAATAAAGTATATTAGTGAATTATCGACTTTATGATATGTACGGGATCAGGGATCATTTAGACTGGTTTCTCATCTGATTTTAGTACTTAAATGAGAAAAAAGAGTTCAAGGGTTTTGTAGTAGAATTCTTGTCGTCCCACATCGACGTAATGTCAATAAATTTTACGTACAACACTTAAATGTGTGCAAGTAACATGTGATATCATGTAATATGTTAGTGTTAAAAAATAAATTGGTATATATACATATTACCTCATTTATTGTTTTATATTTTTATGTTTTAATATAATGAAATGAGTCAAGATGCTCGTGTTTAATTTTATTCTCTTCCTCACTCCTTGAAAAATCGTGTAGAAACCACTAACTCTAATAAATGGCTCCATGAGTGTAGTTGTTGAGCTCCACCAAAAGAAAAATTTAAAGAAAAGTGAAAAAATGAATCTAAAAATTCTAGACTGATATACTTCATCTCATTTACTTACCGTTGCACGTCATCGCGTCATAGCTCGTGAGGTCACATGATACAAACAGGAAATATTTAGGCGGTAGGTGTGTTCTTTTTTTATAATAGCTTTACCGAGTACACTGGCATTACAGCCACTAGACATATTTTATTATATACGCGTAGAAATATTATTTAAAGATTTCGAATAATGTTAACTTAAAGAAATACACAATAATATGTTTCATTTAATTTGTATAAATGCATTATAAAGAGTTTTTATGAAGAACATTTGTTAGGAACACACTGTAACTGTAATCGAAGGTATTTTGGCATAAATTGGTAACACTTATTTGACAGTTGCGGTGTTAACCCTTTTTGTACACTTCCCGTCATATAAAACACGTACACTTTTTTTTCCCAATGTAAACCTGTGTTCACAAATCAATTCGTTGTTGCCAATACAGATAACGGAATTGCACTAAATCTAAATAAAAAAATAACGTTAAAAAATGTATAAATTTTTTAGATAGGTATTATTTTTATCATTAACATCAAAAAACCGTATCTAAGAAATTAAATAAGCAAAGACAGGGTTGAGTTATTGTCCAAAATGTTTGCAGGATCTTTAAACCTGTGGTATTGGCACAGGGCACAAGGAACATTGGAATGCACCTACTGTAATTTTATACTTCAATTACCTACCGAACACGAACTGTATTTTGTGTCAATAAGTTTAGTAACAAACTACCAAGATTAAATTATTATTTATTACAGGAACAATAAATGTAAAAAAATAACATTTTACTTTATCCTACGTATTATAAACTATAAAATATCCGTGGCGAAAAAACGCTTTTCAAAACGTGACAGTTTCAATCCAATATCTCACTGTAATATTTTATTATAATAATTTGAAGTTTGTCTAGGTTGATTATCTGTCATTATTTTTAAATTGAAATATTTTCATAAATTGTTATAAAATACAAATCAATGATAATTACATAATAATTACAAATCAATGGTAATTAATTGAGATGATGGAAAATTACAAAATTAATATGAGAATTTTTTAGGATGCATGTTTAAACAAATTTAATGTGACTGACTGATCGAGAATGCTCGATAATCTTTTAGTTTTTAGTATTGTCACAACTCTCGGTCTGTCACACAGTCCTGCTTTTAGCTGGTTTTATATAATATTTTCGTTGAACTGGCAATGGTGTCCTAGAAATTAGAATGACACATCTGACAAGATCAACTTACACAAATTAAAAAACACGATTTTTGATTATAAGAATTGTACCAGTTTTTTATGACGGGAACGGTACTTTATTTTGAATTTTTAAGTGAATACCTCTTGGTTTATATTTTTACCTATTTAATAAAATCTGTTTTTTTTAGAACAAAATTAGTGTGTATTATTAATTACTATTATTATTATTAGTGTGTGTAATATTAATTTGTTTTGTTGTATAATCCACTTTTGCAATAATTATGTGACCTATTTGATTTAAAATGGATTCAGGATTTTTTAAAACTTTGTCAACTATGCCAACTTCGATCTCTGTCAATGATAATGACGTGCAACGGTAAGTAAATTAGATGAAGTATAATACTACCGAAAACTATAATAAAGCTAGTCAATAAACAACAATTATTACGCCTGCTACACTAAAAATCTAAAATAAACATAAACTGAGAAAAACTAATAAAGAAGAATCTTCACTCAAAGGTGTTGATTTTCACGTAGCTGGTAAATTGACTATATAAAGTTCGGTGATCTAAAGGACATTTTGGTACCATTTGTTTTTTATATCTAATTTTCACAAAAGACATTTTCTTCCTTGAAAAAATCAAATTACCTCCCTATTATATAGGCAACATACAAATCGCAGAAATCATGGTTGCCTATACAATTGTTGACATGAGTGACATGACACATCGACATCCCTTTTCATCTTTGAAGTTCAGACCATAGATAAAGAATATATATTACCGGATAGATAGGAAACTGTGTAGGGTATTTCTGGACAATGCGCCATCTGGCGGTCTTAGGAAAGCAACATCTTTTAAAAAATCTCGTAATCCTTCAAATATAAAGATTAATTTTGAGGGTTTGGGTTTGACTACAAAAATAAAACAAACGTTGGTTCTTTTTCTATTTTAATTTTTTTTATAAACATTAATTACATGTATTTAAATGTAGTTGGTTAAACAGTGGCTATTCTGTAGTTTCTATAAATTATATCTAATACAATATCAAAAATTTTCTATTAATATCGTCGGCATACTGCTAAAAAATCTCATTTTGATGTTTATTGATCTAATGACTTGAATTTATAATATCGCACCCTTAGTAACGTATAGGTACAAATCCAAAATGTAGGGTAATCGCATTTAAAGTTTTGCATGAGTATGATTTTAAAGAAAATGCCCTATAACAACGCCTGTGTATTATATAATACACAGGCGTTGACACACTGTACACACTGAAAATGTTTAAACTTCCACCGTAGATAATGTATTAAATGTTAGATGTTTTTAAGGTTATAACAATATTTTTTACAAAAAAAAATAATATAACTAACCATTGTCCATATAAGCCAATAATAATAAGGTTGTAATTATTACAACCATTAACACAACAGTTAAAAACCATAATTATTTAAATACGATGGCAAAAAATAAACAATTATTTAATCGCAACTGGAAACACTGTCACACACCACACTGTCGAATCGTCGAAACCACAATAAAAATGGCGTACTTGTTTTGTTGGTTGCGGTCTTGCACAGTCACAAAGCTTTGCTACGAATGCTACGCCCTCTGGTGTCCTTAGGAAATACAAATTTTAGAGGACTGTCACTCCCATAAGAGATACCCGAGCATGGTTCAGACAATGGATTTTAGTAAAGAAAACAAAAATATTTATTTAAAGTAAAAAAGGGAGGATTAAAAAGCATGTTTTTAGGTATTTTTATGTCTCATAAATGTGCCAAAAACGAAAGTATAGTGAAAATAATTCACGTTAAAAGAAATATATCAAAGTAAAAAATACCAATATTCCTATTATGTAATTATTAACATTTTTAAACCACTACCTATTGGCTTGAAATGCATATTGGTTTTAAAATGATATGGTAAGTAAAAAGTGGCAATAATCCATACTATACGTTCCAGAATTTTATTTATTTTACTACCACTTCTCACCTCTACAAACATGTTGCTTGGATCACACTTTTTCTCTTTATTTGCTGTTGATATTTATTATTTTCATGTTTAATTCAGATGTTTTGTATTCTCTTCAAAGAAATGACACGTTTAGTGCTTACTACTCTACAGAAGAATGATGATGTTTTTCTGAAACAAAAACAAAGAATCATGTATTACAGCATAAATAAGTAAAGAAAGAACATCCAAGGTGTACATAAAATAAATATCTTTGAGATTGTTGTAGTTTTTTGTAAAAGACAATAATTGTAGACCTTTAGTCTGTCTAGTGAGTGTAAATCTGAAACTAAGAGTTGTATTGAATTACTCACTTCACCCTTCTGAAGGGAAGGAACTGAAAGAGATAGTAAAAATTAAACTGAATTAGATTGGTAGTTTTATCATTCTGTAAATGATTCTACAGGACTGTGTTGAGGTAATGTGGGTTGTGTTTTGGGATTGTCCCTTCTAGCAGTTATTTTGTTTTCAGGGAATGGCTGTACATGTAACTAAATGGATGACATTAATTAAAAAGCCACACAATGTGAATTTCTGCTCAAAAACAACCAAAAACCAACAAACATTGGAATCTTCTTCAAACAATTCAAAAAATAATTTATCCAAAGAAAGAAAATATCCAGAAGAACCTACAACATGTTGTATGTCAGGCTGTGCTAACTGTGTGTGGATAGAGTATGCAGATGAACTCCAGAAATATTTTCAGGATGGAGGGGAGAGAGCTAGAGAAGAAATTAATAATAGAGTAACTGATCCAAACATGAAGGCATTTTTGTCACATGAGCTTAGAATGAGGAATATAAAATAAATAAATAGATATTTTCCTGGTTTTCTTTTACTACCTATTTAATAGAAATGTTTACTGTTGAATTGTTAATTTGTATTGTTTTAAATAGTCAGCCGTTTTTGTTGACAGATGAATTTTCTTTTTCAGTTGGAAATAGGACATTCTTCTCCCTAAGATACTTTATATCTTTATGATGCTCTGTGGATTCTTGTGTAGAGCTATTAAATATGTTTTCTTTGGGTTTGTTCTCATTAAAACTTTGAATAAAGATTTTAAATATACTGTCTTGTAGCTTTTATCGAGATCTATGGAGACAAGATGGGTAGCATGATGTCTACCAATGCATTTCTCTATCACTTGTAGAGCAAAAATGTTGTCAATACAGGACTGTCAAATCCAGATGCCCTCCTGTTCTTTTATTTCTTGGTGCTCTGTTTCTATTTGTTTCTTAAGTATTTGTTTGTGCAATCTTTAGTTACGAAGCTTTTTTTCTTAAATAGACTTGAGTACATCAAATAAATTTTGATAATTTCTACATTAGCAAGTCTTGGGAAACCAAAAATATTGGTAAGTGGTCTAGAAGACAAAAAAGTTTGGGAAACACTGATCTATGGCTTAGAAATCAGCAAATTTATTAAAAGATTAAGATTTTCGGGGGTTGTCTAAGGGGCTATGTTATATAGAAATAATAAATAAGACTTACTCACAAACTGATTTTAAGTCTTATTTATTATTTTTTTACCTATAGGTATATACACATAGTTTATTATAATAAACTATATGTATAAGATGGAAGACATTCATATATATGTATTTCTGACTATTGGTCGTGCAGCCGACTTAGAAAAGGAGCATATTAACTTAAAAAAGGATTACTACAGGTGCAATGCGACCAATTTGTGGCAATAATGTTAGAAGACACTGAGGTTTCTAGAGCAACAACTAACACTTAAACAGAGGAAGCTAAGCTACCTGAGGAAAGGAATGCCAAATGTTTAGAACGTTTCAAACAACAAGAAAAAGGTTAATGTGAGTTGATAGTAAAATAAAGGTAAAAGGTATTGACATAGCTTGCAACACAAAAAAAAATAATAAAATATGCGTATAAGATGGAAGGCAATCGTATGTATACAGTATAGGTAAAAGTTTATGGTCGGTATGGACCTTACATGAGATGGAGTGAGAAACAACTGTTTAAAAAGAGAGAGATATATTAGGTGTCCGCCTTTTATATCACCGAACATAAATGAGTGGATATGGAGTGGATATAATAAAAAGGGGAAATTCAATGTTGCCAAACTTATTGGTTTTATTTGACCTGTTGTCTTTTTCGCATTTGAACAATGCTCCAAGATAATGAAATTTGGGCGAAATGGATTTAAATGGCAGCTTATTGTTTTTTATTGGGAATATGTCACAATTTTACTTTACAATAAGTGTAATATATCATTTTGATTTATACTTCGGAAATCGTTTTATATAAATAAAATTTATTAATGTTTCGTATTTTAAAAACGATTTCCGAATTAAAAATCTAAACATCAAAATAAGCTTATTTTAAAGTGACATTATGCCTTATTTCCAATAAAAATATTAAACTGCATATAAATAAAAAACTTCGTACAAAACTATTTGCCAACGTGGCGTGTCGCGTGGTCAAATCACCGAAACAAGGGGTACACTGGTATTTACGAATAGAGGTGGGTCATTGACGTCGCAAAACCGATTTTCGTAAACAAGTAACTATGATTTTTTAATAGTAGTTTCAAGTAAGAAACTACCTACATAAAGAAACATAATGGCTATTATCGTTTATGTGTATATTTATTGAAGTGAAGGAAACTAATAAAAGATTTTATTATAATTTGAAAACTAAACTAAACAATACAAATAGTAAATCGTACCTACGTTTACATTACACGTTATTATTAAATCACGAATCGCCTAAATTGACATTTAAAAACATAAGTTTTTGTACTTTACTTCTTATTAACCGTGTTTTTCTTTTATTTAAAATTAAACCTGATTTTGTACATGTGTTCACATTTACAATACTTTATGAATATAGTGGTTAAGTTAGGAGATACATGGCGATGGTTTTTCCACCATTGTAATGGACTCTCGCTACAGGTGTACGTTTAGATGAGTCATGTCCAATTAATTGATCAAAAATACACCGTGGACTTAAGTCATCTTTATCGGTTTCTTTTTCTTATACTGGTTGATTTTCAATAGTATAATCTTCTTGTTCTTTAATTATAGAAGTAACCAGCTTCTTAACTCTTTCTTTTGTTTTTTTAGCGTCATTTTTATCATAAAATCCCTGCACTTTAAATCGTGAATCCATAAACGTACATAATGACAATATGCCACTGTATTCTATCCCTCTAAATCTTTTTGCTAAAAAAGAGATTAGTAATTATCCCGTAATTAGTAATAAAAACCCGTACTACGTCGGATACTATGGATGTAAGGTTACTGTTTGCTAAAATTTTATTGCAAGATTTTTGCAGGCAGGGTACCAGAACAATCACTGAACTATCATTCAAGTATTTTTGGCCACTCATTGTACTTGTTATTTCTTTAAAAGACCGTAAAATTTGGGACAATTACGAAAAAATAATCTAGTCTTCACTATTTAGATTTGGTCTAAGTCTAAGTCTATATTATTTAATACCGATGTGGAACGGAAATACACGCCAGTACACCGAAAATATCAAAATACAGAGAGGAGTCCGCCAGGGTTGCGTGCTGTCCCCACTACTTTTCAATGTCTACAGTGAAGCGGTATTTCAAGAAGCGCTCTCAGACTCAATAGAAGGTATATCTATCAATGGAGAAGTTTTGAATAACTTACGTTTTGCAGACGATACAGTAATAATTACGGATAACAACAATGATTTACAGAACATAATGCAACGCCTTAATGAACGCTGTCATGAGTACGGACTGAAGATAAATTTAAAGAAAACTAAATGCATGATCATGACTAAATCTGCACAAATATCCAATTGACTATTGAAGATACTGCAATTAAGAGTGTTAATAACTATAAATACTTAGGAACATGGATAACATCAGATGTAGACCAAACCAAAGAAATTAAGACACGTATTGAAATAGCACGTACATCATTTATTAAACTTAAAAAGTTTCTTTGTTGTCGGGATATAAGGTTAGAACTACGCCTGAGAATGCTTCGATGTTACGTGTTCTCTACTCTTCTTTATGGTCTGAAAGCTTGGACACCAAAACAAGTTCATCTGAATAAGTTGGCCGCCTTTGAATTTTGGTGTTACAGAAGAATCCTACGAATATCATGGATTCAAAAAATGTCAAACATTGAAGTAACTAGAAGGATAGGAAATGAGGCAGAAATAATATTAACTATTAAAAGACGAAAACTTGAGTACTTGGGACATGTGATGAGAGGGCAAAAATACGCATTATTACAACTTATTATGCAGGGCAAAATCCGAGAAAAGCGAAATGTGGGAAGACGAAAAATATCCTGGCTTAAGAACTTAAGGGAATGGTTTGAATGCAGTAGTGCAGACCTTTTTAGAGCGGCAGTCAACAGAGTCGGCATAGCCATGATGATTTCCAACCTTCGATAGAAGATGGAACTTAAAAAAGAAGAAGTGAAACGGATTGCCTCTTCTAACTCAGTCATTCTTTTTAACCTGTAATAGGTGAAGTTCTACCTAGTTTCCACGTCTTGGATTGGCCGTTTGGGAACTTTGTTATGTTGTAATTAATACTTTAAAAGCCTTTCTGAAGATAAGGTACTTTTTTTTAATGTTTTTTGCAGAATTGTCGAAAAAAGGACTTTTTATTTTATCTATTATCAAATCAGTTTTGACATAACATTCCTGAAGTAATGAATCTAACAGTTTTTCTTGTTGGCGGTTTATATCCAGGAATCCACCCTGCAAACTTTTTAAAAGCTGGTTCTTCACCTATAGAAAACGGATGAAACGAGTCTTTGCATAAGTTTAGTAAATCAATAAGTTTAGTCAAGAAAAAGAAACTGATAAAGATGACTTAAGTCCATTGTGTATTTTTGATGAATTAATTGGACATGACTCATCTAAACATACAACTGTATCGAGAGATATACAAGAAGTCGACATGTATTTGTCTGATAATATATTACCCACAATAAATTTCGAACGGAGATTGGAACTGTCCATTACCGTGGTGGAAAAACCATCGCCATGTATATCCTAACTTAGCCACTATATTCATAAAATATTGTAGAATTGTAACAGAATCTTTTCCTTGTGAACACATGTTTAAAATCTGGTTTAATTTTAAATAAAAGAAGAACACGGTTAACAAGAAAAGTAGAAAAACTTGTTTTTAAATGTCAATTTAGACGATTCGCGATTTAATAATAAAGTGTAATGTAAATGTAAGTACGATTTAATGTAAATGTAATTACTATTTGTATTGTTTAATTTATTTTTCAAGTTATAATAAATATATCCTTCGTTAGGTTCTTTCACTTCAATACTTATACACATAAACGATAATAGCCAATATGTTTGTGTACTCGCTAATTTGAATCAACTAGTTACAGTTTACGAAAAACGGTTCCGATAAAAATTTAAAAAACGGGAGGACCCACCTCTAGTTTTTTAGGTATATTAGGATCGGAACCAGAGAATATGTAAAATATCTCTGATCGGAACTATTCGTCTCACTAATGGCCAATAGGTGTTAAAAATATTTGAAGAGGGGAGACCAAGGGGAAATATGATTGTTATCTTTGTCTATTCGCTGAAAATATGATTTTATATCTGCGTTAGATATCCTGTTAAATTTTACCATACCGACCATAAAAATTTCCTACACTGTATATATATATATATATATATATATATATATATATATATATATATATATATATATATATATATATATAAGAGTAAGAAAAAAGAATATATATATATAAATATATATATATATATATATATATATATATATATATATATATATATATATATATATATATATATATATATATAGGCAACCAAATATACACTGAAGTAAGTCTGAGTTATTATGATTTTTGTAAACAAGAGTGAATTTGAACAGAAAGTAGACATTTAATATGATAATTACGGATTTTTTTTTATTGAGTTAATGCCTCGACAACTATGATCATTCGCATGGTACAGTCAGGTACCTAGTGTAGTGTGTGTGTATGTGTAGAG